GCCTCCTTCTCCTAAGGTTCTTTCTGCCCTATATTCCAGCCACAAGAAAATGCTCCTCCTTCTCTAAACACAAAAAGCTCTTTCAAGATACTGTACATTTGCAAGTGAACTCCTGGTCTGGAATGTCCCTCCCTCCTTTCTTCACTATCCAACTCATACCATTCCTTCAACATTCAGGCTCACCTGGGCTCTGCTGGCTCTCCACTCACTGTAGGCATTTTGTTCTTTGCCTCAAGAGTCCACACCTCACCTGTAAGCTATGCATACCCGGGTCTGCTTCTCCAAGACACCAGAGTTCCACAAGGAAATTTTAGTCACCTGAGGGCTTAGCACATAGTAGGCACTCACTAAATACTGGATTAACCTTTGGATAAATAGAGTAGAAGAGGACATTTAATAGAAGTCTTTATTATTGATTAATATGTAGCATAGGGAATCACAGAGATTTTTCAAATGGAAAGAAAATTCAAAAATCTAAACTATGCCTCTCATTTTACAAACGTGTTCAGGGAGGTGAATTAATTTACTTAAGGTTACTAAGCTAGTGTACAACAGATTCAGGATTTAAATCCATATCATCTGGTTTTAATTCTACATCATAAGCCATGTGATGGAAGAAACTTTGTTATGTCTTGGTCATTTGGAATTTGACTTGTACATAAAAATAGAAAAATGTTTTGCAAGTATTGGGGAGCATGTGATGACTGATCTTTTACACAAGCCATTGTTTTTGGGTTTTTTTTTAATCATTGGAGTGGTTTGTTGATTATGTCTTTTTTTTATTTTTTACATCAAAAAAAAGTGGTATGGAACATTTTTCATGCACATTTTAAAATCAAGGAACTTAATTAGCCTCTCCATTTTTTTTTCAGTAAGCATTGATCTTGTTTCCAGTTTTTATTTTCATATTCCACATTTGTAACCCTATACTTTTTAATGTGAAATTTTGTATCTCACTGTAAACCTTAGTTGGCCCTGAAAGTTTTTTTTTAATGTATCAATTCCAACATCACAGTCACCTAAAACAGGTCAGATCTCAGTACTTAACAATACAAACCTATCCATAAGCTATGAAAAGCATATTTAAGGTTGCATGAAATAATTTACTGAATTTTAGAGTAATGAATTTAACATTTTTACCTAGCACTAGACAGGTAAAATACATAAAACAATCAGCAAGAGAGTTCGGGCAAACATAAAATCAAGGCCACCTTATTTTTAAAAGGTAGGGATTTTTTCCTTCTCTTTTAACCAAAAATTGATTTCAGGAATAAGAGTAAGCATGACATGACAGAGCAGAGGGTGTATGCCCTGATTTACTTCTTTGGTATACAAAAGTATCCATTTTCCAAAGCTTTCTGGGCATGGCACAAACTTACAGACATTACAATTAAATTCAATTAAATCCTGTCACTAAAAACCCACACTTCATATTCATAACCAAGAGTGAAGAAATAAATGAGGATTTATAAAGAATATTTTGTCCAATCAAAAGAATATCTTCCATTTTTCCTCACAGGTATGCCATACCAGCACTCAGTAAACTACAGAAATCATTATGCCAGAACAGAAAACTAGTACAGTGTCCTATACTGATCACGAGAGGTTCTGATTATATTTATATCTGACTATTTTTCTCTGGGGTAATCAGCATACCAGGGAATATAACATATAATTAGCATGAAAAAGAACCTACAATCACCAAGTGGAAAGAGCCTTTTCCATTCTCCTGCATTCTTCCTTTTCCTTAGTCTGAGATAGAAGAAGAGAGAATCAAGGAGATGTTTGAGGAGCAAATTAAGGGAGTTTAAAAGTTGTAGAAATCATACTCTGCTTATACAGTATGTGTGTGTGTGTACACGTATGAATGTGCACCCCTGCTTAGTGCTATGATGCATTACCTATGCAGGTAAGCCTCCTTTCATCATAACATAGTCTGGTCTGTCATAGGCAGAAGCTGTCTGGGTGTGAATGGGTTGCATTTTATGCCAGAGACAGGCGGAGGAGCAGATGGTATCCGGTGCAGCATTTTTCAGGACCCTCAGTTCTTCAGTGATCTGGATGGAATTCGTCAGCATGACGGCCTCTCTGGCTTTTTATCTCTGAGTACTTCTAGCCTTCACAATTGAGAGCACCTCATGCGTACTTGAAGTTTCATCCCCTAGAGTCCCAAACTCTGGAGTTCATCTTATTCCAAGACAGTGGACGTGTAAAACCCTATCATAGGAACTCTGGATCAGGCATCATTAGAATTGCTGCTGTTCCTCTCTGTTGCTAGATGCAGCTTTGGACCACAGTCCTATTTGGTTTCCCAAGTGATTCCCTGCATGATATTCCATCCCTTCCCAAATTTAGCCTCACCAGTATTCCCTGAGAAGAGAATCCAGCCACTGAGGGGACATCGTCTTATACCCATGTCTTTGCTCGGTGATACAGAGTGTCTGTGTGCTTGGATCTTCACCTGTTGTTTTCTGTAGACATCTCCAAAACTCCTAGCAGTACCATTTGCACCCCATCTGTCACTCTATTTCTTAAATAGTGCTTATTGCTGGATGTCTCTGAGATCTACAACCTTCTACAGAAGGTCTCTTGTCTTTGGTCACTCTTGGGTCCCCAAAATTCCAACAGCCAACTTAACATGCTGTCTCCCAAGAAACATTCCTCTGCTCCAGCCTCTTCAGACGGTGTGGAGTTCAAATTCTCAGAGTCTACCTCTTGCACCCTAGCAAGAAAATCCAACCCATACTGCTTTTCTTAACCTCCTGATTCTGAAACTTACTTGGCAAAATGATATTGGACTTGATAATCTACTAGTTTCCTCTAGTTGCCCTGGTTTCTTATCTGCCTATTTCTGACATTTTAACTCAGTCATTCCTAAGGGCTGTCATTGGCTGTCATTTTGGTGCTGTTTATCTTGATTTAAGTTCTGATTAAATTGAGTGAACAGTGCAGAAGAAAGAAAAAGACCCTGCCCTTTTACCTACCAGATTGTCCCTGGGTTTTCCATTCTTATTACTAGTCTTTGAATCTAGAAATCTTTACCTCGTTCTGCAATACTGACAAAGCATTAAAGCCATTCTCACTAACTGTAACATTTTCCTGCCAAGGTTTATATTGCCCAGTGCTGCCAATTCACAGTGCTAAGATGTACAAGCAGATTTTTAATACTACACCTTAAAACTTCTCTCTCAAGAAAATCTTTTTCTCCACTCAAGCATTTCTTTAGATATTTGCACATCATTTTTCCTTGCTGCTTATCTATGAAGAAAAGTTGACCCTGCTATATTTTAAAAACAAGCCCCAATCTGTGTTCCTGGTCAGTTTCTTTCCATCTTATCTGTCCACCTATCTATTAAGCATGTTCCTGGATACATAACACATGAAAACCTTACGATAAACTTAGAAGATGCAAAGATGACTAAAATATGATTGGAGTAGTCAAGGAGTTCAGAATCTAGTAGAGGACATGTTGCAGAAACACAGCCTCCATACCCTGCTTACCAAATTGAGATGAGGACAGAGTTTTGGATGAAGCAGAAAAGGCAGCTTTATTTCTTTGCCAGGCAAAGGAGGTCACAGTGGACTAATGCCTCTAAGATTGTGAGCCTACTGGGAAGAGAAGGCAGAGGATTTTATAGTAAAAGTTCAACAGTTCAAGGGGCAGACCTAGTTTCCATAGAGATCTCTTACAGAGTAACAAAGCATTGCAAAGTTGTTCTTGCTTTTGCAGATGCAGTGGTCCCCTTCCCTCTGCTGGGTATGAAATTCACCTCTGGCTTTAGGACTCTCTTAATATTCTTGTGCCTAGAACAAAGGATGCACAGAAAGGGGCTCCTTGGAAAAGAGCTCTAGAGAAAAACTTGTGCAGTTTAAAGTCAGGTTGATAAATGCTTTTAGTGTTTTAATCAGGCTGAAGCCTGGGATTTCTTGCTGTAGGCTGAGGCCTGCAGCTCAAACAACAGGATACAAGGAAACCACAAAGGGTCAAGAGTAGGTCAGTATGGGCAAAAGCAGGACACTGAACATCATCATGAAGGGGTTGAGCAGACCATCCAAACCTTTCTCTCCAGTCCAACCCTGGTCAGTAAGAGCATAGGAAAAACCTTTATACCATTATACAGTTAAGCAGTTTCAAACATCATTACGGATATCAGATGGTCACCATTGATGACAATATGGTCCTGCTCCATTACAGACAGACATTCATAAATGGGTCATTGTGAACACGATGTATTACCTGCTATAATGGAGGCTCTAAGGAGAGCATAGATTGAAAGTTGAGAAAAGGCTTAGAGCTCTTTACATTTGAGTTTCAGATCAATATCAAATGTAGATAATTAATTCTGACATGTTAATTGATATTCATTTTGGTCCCATTCACTAATGCAAAAATAAAAAGAATAAAATTTGTCAACCATCTAGTTCCATAGTAGGCATCATGCAGTATAGAAAAAGCTGGGTTGGGGGGATGGCAATATATGTTTAGAAGGCAATAAATATTTTTTAATTACTTTCATTAAACTTTTTAGTTTGTTTTGCATGGTTTTTAAAGAAAACCTTTAGGGTGCATGTGTTAGATTGTGTTTTCCATAAAACTTATAATAAGGAAATAATAAACTTTGTGGAAGATAGCTTAATTATATTTAGTTTCCTTACCTATCTACCTGTCATTATGAAAAACATAGCTTTATGATAGAATGTATGAAATAGTTCAGGTTTCATTGTTGCTTCATGTTTACATAATTTTGCCATAACTCTCTTATGCTGAAGGCAGCAAAACTGCAGAAACATGAGAACAATTTATACAAAATAAATTCAGCTAACAGAACAAAGTCCTTCTTTAAAATGAATGGCTCAGTGTTAGTGGTATGATTGCAATGATAAAAACAAGTCATGTGAAATGCCAAAAAATTAAGAACTTTGATTTTAAGCACTGAAGTACACTAGTTTTTGTTAGGCCTAGAGTTACAATATTGTGAGCAAGCAGAGTTTCTTTTAAAACATTCAGAACTTGTTTAATTATGTTACTTTTCATTTGAAGATTGAATGTGTTTTGAGGTTATGTTGCAAAAAATACATATGGTCAATATTACTAGAGAAAATTAGACAGATATCTTAAAAGTCTACCCCAGCCTTCACCTGTACATACTTCCTAAGAAGCAAAAACAAATACACATATTTTTTAAGTCCTTCCTCAGAGACTACTGTGCTTTTTTAAAATTATAAAGTATCCTAGTCATTTATAGAAAATAATGTAATACCTGAATCTAACAAACATTAACATCATGCCTTATTTACTTCATATATATTATATATACAGTAAATAATATATTACCAAAAAGTATTTACTAAAAGGGAAATGGAAACCTGTAGGGTCAAGAAAGA